TAAATATGTTGTTGGTCTCAGTCTGATTGGACTGTTTGATATCTCTCTTAGATTGAAGTTCTGCAATCTGTGCATTATGGAACATTAAGGTTCTTCTTAAAAGAAGAATATGCGATTTTTCACACTTTTTTTCATGTTACAAATGTAGCAGCAATCAAGTATATCCTCTGAAAATAACTTTCAGTCATGACTGTCTACAATGAGTGTGACAACTGGGTCCTGCTGTCTGTGATGTTTTCTGAGCCGTATCTACAGTGTGTTTACATGGACGACCAGCTGGCTCATCAACTTGCATACAAAAGTTGTTTAATTGAGGGACTAGAGAAAAGAAAAATAACATACTGTACTCACTGCTTATTTGAATGCCACGTAAGCATTTTTAGATCACGGTCATTTTGTGTATATTTACATGCAGTGTGAAGATACAAGCAAAATAAAGAGCGATAGCATTAGTATGCTAACACAACAATGCAGTGCAAGTTGTTTTGGTTTCATGCTGGTGCTCAAGGGTGACATCTACTGGATAAAAAAAGTTGCATATTCTTCCTTTAAAGGTGTTTGGTGTTTTTCGTGTTTGATGCTTTGATTTAATATTTGGGGAGTCAGCCTGTTTAAGAGTCACCAACCCTTCATACCATTTGCGGTACTTATGCACCATCTACAAAGCATTTTCAGGCTTGGCATTGCTTTCATACAGAGCCAGATATGCCTTTTCCTTACCCTCTGTTTTTGTGTTTAGATCTGTCAGAAGGTGGTGTGGCAGGTAAGTCAACCTTGTTTTCTGGATGCAGGGAATATGGGGAGTGTGATGGTGTATTTGTAGAGGTAGGCCTCTAATCTGCCATAAAAATTTAGATTTGAAATGTTCTACATGCCTGAAGTTGCTGATTGCTGTGTGTGTTTCCGAGACTCCAGCAACCCTGGGCCTCAATTGACTCGAGCGATAGAAAATGCTCTCATTAATGCATTACACAACAACACCATCATCAACACCAGGCAGTATAGGGATACGTCCCATGAACTGAGACATGAAGAGCGAGTCATGCAGTTTCACTGGATCAGCCCAGAGCATTGGCTGTTTATAAACATGGATTAGAGCAGCAGTCCAGACTAGCATAAATCAGTAGATTTTTTAAATCCGTCTCCACAGAGTTTATATGTATGTGCAAGTGCATACGCTAATTATTTTAACCAGTTAACTGGTTAACAGAATAACTGTGTTGTCACCGTGTTTGTTGACAATCTGTAACCAAAGTATTGTTAACGTGTTGAAAGTCAGGTGTATTTGAACAGTTTGGCCTTCCATACAGGGTGTCACTGAAGGGAGGCGCATCTGAAAAAGGCGCGACAATTGAAATTCCAGTTTCTGGGATGTTCTTTCGCTGCCGTGAGAGAACAACAATACAGACGCACAAGATTTTGGAGTCGCGTCTCGCTCGACAGTCTACAAGAATCCCGAAAGTTTTTGGTAAAATAACTTTAAACTACTCTTTAAAGGTTTAACATCTGACAGCCGAGTGGGTTAAACTATTAAGGAGTATCTTGATAGAATAATTTCATTTAAAAAAAACCCTCCAGACACAATGTTAAAGGGCTGCTGTTTGCCCAGCACTGAAGTAGTCTGCAGTTACATTTAGGATAATTTAATTTTCACCTTATCCAAACTGTGTAAGATTGTTTCAGGGGAGACCATGTATGTAGGATTAATAGTTAAAAGGCTTTCTGCTTGTGCTTTTAGTTTCGTTGGTTGCTTAGTTGATTAAATTTGTTTTTATTTCTATTTTTTCTTCCTGTAGCACTTTGAGATTTTTGGGGAAAAATGTAAGATAGATAATTTGAATCACACAGCCTATACCCTAAATCTCTCCTTGGTAGCGTAATCTCCGGAGTTTTTCAGGAGACTTCCGCATTTCTGATTTCCTGCTTAATGTGCATAGCTTTCACATTGCGTCAACATTTTATGGACCCGCCCACTTGGCACAAAAAGGCTCTCTACCTCTGCACGCTACTCAGGAGTTATTGGCCTCAGTTGCCCCCTACGTGTTTTAATGGTTTTAATCAGTTTTATTTTTCAAATGTTTAAAATAAAATACAGTTGTTTTTAAATGTGAAACACTGACTGACGAGGAGACGAGCTCAGGGTTTTGTTTACAGAATTTAACCCGAGAAAGAAAACGCAGTGAGGACATTTGTGGATTAACATGGTGTGTAGGTAGGCTACCAGATGTGCTCGGGTGTTCATGATATAGACTGTAAATATTACATTCATGACCATAGTTCATGACATGATATAATTCACAATGGATTGTGGGATGGGTAGTTCCTTGATTTAGGAACGAAACCATGTAGACTACACAGTCTTTTTGTCTTTTTTCCGGTTTTTAGTGCCGAATTAGATGTCATATCGTCAGTGGGCGGTCACTGTTGTGCTCAAAGACCCACAAAACCTATAAACTCTATAAACTCCTATAAAACTATACAGGGGCGTCTTAGTGGGGAGAAAAGTGGGACTGACTACCCAGGGCCCTCTCCCCCCCTTCTGAATGCGCAGAATGGTTTAGTCCTCCCACCACCTCTCGACTGGATTAATTTTTCATCGGTCAGTCGAGTCAAGAGTGAGAGATGTGGCAGGCTGCATATTAAACCAGTTGTTATAGAGGAATTCAGCCAAGAACATTGTTTGGATCATATCTGTGTTTTATGTATAAATATATTTTATTAATCCCCTTCATAGATACAATTTCATACGACCTTATTTTATAAAATATATTACATCGCGGTCAAAAAGGGTCCACTTTGGAGCTATATTTAGCGTCTTTCCCAGCGAGCTACAGTAACATATTTGATATCAACAGATTCAGAGTAGTTCATATGATGTTGTCGCGCTTGCATTAAAACTGAGACCGCTACTTCTGCCCAAAAAAACAAAATTTTTAATGTCAGGTGAGACAAATTATAATGCAGTGTAAGAAGAATTAAAGTGTAGAAATTGTAGAAATTCTCTGGATTTAGTTTGGGCCATGGTAGGGGTTCTATGTGAGATCTTTTCATGGGGCCCAGAGTTCCTGGCGACGCCCCTGAAACTATAAACCGATCATATTATGTGACTTCACTAGCAGGCGCAGGACCCCGAGTCGATCTGAACCCCCGAGCACATCTAGTAGCCTACACCGGCACGGACTCTGCCGTTTCTAGTGACATAAACAGTGCCCTGTGTGCTGTTAAACTCACATCCTTTCTTAATATCTCAGTTTTACTTGGGTTGTCAGGTAGTGTTAAAATGTATCGTTTGTGTGAGATGTTAAATTAAAAGCCCTTCTTCTTCTTCTTTTAATTTAATGGCAGTTACAACCATAGTTTAAAGAGGTGCATACCGCCACCTACGGTGTGACACTACTTTACATTAAATGTAAATGACAAAATTAAACAAACAAAAAAAATCTATATGGATTATTCAATCAATCTGTAAGAAGACTCAAACTTATTAAAAATTCAGCAGCCTGTGCTGACCCGTACGAGAAAATTTGATCATACCACTCCAGTCCTCAAAACTCTCCATTGGCTCCTTGTACAACACACCTTCAAAATCCTTAATGGTTTAGCTGCTGGGTACATTTCTGGCGTGCTCACAGACTACAACCCAACCTGGACAGGGGGCCTATAGTTACTGTGGCCCTTCTTTATGTAGGCTAACATACTCTGACCTGCTGACCTGATGTCCATCACTACTGTGTCTACTTTTAAAGCAAAACTCAAAACCTATCTGTTCTCCAAAGCATATGAATAGTTATTTCTTGTATGTGTGTGTATGTTTGATCACTTTTGTGGTAACTGATGTTTGCTTTGTGGTGATATGATGTAAATAATCCTCTTTGTTCAAGGAAGTAATTAAGCATCCTAACTAATATCTTTTCCATCCACTTAGTGAGGAGCTCTCACGGCTGGTATATCCAGCAATGGTTCTTGATGTTCCACAAGAAATAGTGAAACAGATTGACAGGAAGCTTGTTGATTGTGTGTGGAAGAATAAACAACATTGTTTAAGGAAAAGTGTGTTGTATAACTCGTTATGGGAGGGGGGTTTGAATGTATTACATTTTGGCACATCAAACACGGTTTTCAAAGTAAATTGGATTAAAAGATATACACACGGCAAAAGAGTTTATGGTTTATTATACCAGACCTTATTTTTCAATGCTATTCCATATTGTTGTTTTTATACGAGGGGTTGGAGAGGTAAACCACAATTTAATTTGAATCTCTATTTTATTTTACCTCCATTTATTTAACAAACAAAAAGTGCACCAATAGTCACCTAAGGAAGCTTCTTCAAGACACCGCAACTCCTCAGGCCAGACCCTATTGGGATGCTAGTTTGGTAATATATAATGGAAGTCAGTTTGGATTTTTAATCAAAGATTTTGTTTCACCAATAAAATTAAAGAAGTTGCTTTAAAAAATATACATTTAATTTATCCAATAAACCAAATAATTGCAAGATTCAGAGAGATGGAGAAAAGTGTTTTCTGTAACAACAAACTTGAAAGCATTGTTCGCTTGGTTTATGAATGCTTGCATATTGGCCTATTTTGGTTCGAGTTGGAGCTGTTCTTTAAAACAAAGACTGGTTTAAATGTTCAATTGAAGGAAAAGGATATCGTGTTTTTTGTTTATGACAAGAGTGGGATTGACAGCGAAAGATTTTATGTTAAATTTGTTTATTTTGTATGGGAAATATTTTGTTCACAAATGTAAATGGAATTAGAAATTACCCCAAATACCCTGGATATTTATGAAAAATCCTTACTGTAACTCTGGTTCTTCCGACTTCAGTGTGTTCTCAGTGAAGTCTGCATGTTGTAACAACAACAACAAACAGTGTGGCTCCTACAGAGAAGATGTGGGATGTATCAAGTTTATATTGAGCAAATAGTTGATGTGTAATAGGCTACGAGAATTAATAAAAACTATCTTATCGTTAACAAACCATCTTTTGCCCCTTTTGTGAACACCTAATGCTAGATCACTCTATCTGATTTTTTTTTTTCTCGGAAGCTTGTTTATTTATAGCTTTAATAAACGTCTGTTTTAACAGTTTGTCTCCTTTTTATTTTTTAATAGTTGCACTTTTGTGAGTTCTGCTTGTTGTAGGCTTAAATTGAGTGAAACCATGAAAAAAGAGTATCAGCTCAAATAACGATTGTTAGGCTATCAATAAACTAATGCAATAAACACTGATTAGAAATGGATTTTCGTTTTCCTGTATCTAAGACTCTACATCACCATCTTTTCAGATTGCAGCGAAGTTGATGCGAAGTGAAAACATGTCAAAGAAGGGGTCTAAGATTCAGCCTCGAAAAAGTGGACCAATGGACAAATATGTCAAGGTAAAAATATTTTTTTGCTGAAATCTACCTGCCTGTTGTATTTATCTTATTCCTGTTATTTGCATTTATATTATTGTTGCCCTCTCTGTTTGGCCCATCTGTTGATCTCTGTTCTGTTGTTGTGTTGATGTATTTGATTTGTCTTTGACAGCACTATGTAAACAATTGTTTTTAAAGGTGCTATATAAATAAAGTTATTATTATTATTATCTAATGATGTCAAGCCATTCTAAAAATGTAGATAACTAAAGGCCAATGGATCTGTGAGAAATTGTTGACTGCATACAAAGATTATATTTGTATTGTCTCACATTTAAATGAATACTAAAGGCACAAATACAAATTTGTTTTAATTGCACGTTGGCCTTTCTTGAGATTATATAACGTGACTGTCTGTCTGTTATCAGCCCTGTGGTAAACCAGAAACCTCACCGGGATGTGCCAGTCCTCTAACCCAGCGTCCACTGTCAACACCTAAACAGGTCTATCTGATTAATGTTTTATTTAAGAGTGTGATTGTCATAATGAAATTAAGTTTATTTTTCAACAATAAATGTGTTATATTCCTAGGATGAGGAGCTACATGCAACCCATTCCTTTGAGTGGATGGGAAGTGACAAGAACCCCACAAACTTGACCTGCGGTAAGACAGGAACTATCGAGGACTCACTGAAGAAGAGTGCACAGTTCAGAGTTCTTGCAAAAAAGAATACAAACAGGGAACTTGTCATTGTACGTGATGGGAGAGCTATCAGTTCACACTTCCCATGCAGCTTCATTAAGAATGAACGTCTTACTGTCAAGTACATAAAAGCGGCAGACAAGCACTCGCAATTACCTAGAAATCGAGCTTCTGCTATTCGCCAAGGACAGGTTCCCCTGACAAGCTTGTGGTGTTTCATGTGGTGACAAAAGGAGGGGAAAAAGTAGCACGTATCATGAAAAACAAAGAACTTAAAATAAAGTTTGAGGAAATTACCGTTTATGGTTTGAAAGGAGAGAAAGTGAAAGAGGCACTGAAAAGAGATGGACGCTTACTGAAAAAAGCGTTCCAAACAAACTGTGCGCTCATTGATAAAAACACTGAAGTAAGAACTGAAATGCACAACTTAGTTGATGATCTTGATGGTAAAACTGTCAAGATCAAAATGATCAGTAAGTGTACTCAACCAGAAAGTCAACCTGAAAGCCTTGAAGATGCAGATGTGCTTCAGAGCGAATCTCAGAAATCTGACTCCGAGATCCAAGTTGAAAACCAAGATCCTCAGCAGCAGTCTACCACAAACCAGTCAGTGACTGACAACATAAGTAAGGGAAATTCAAAGCAAAATGGCATTCGACAGACAGAAAAAATACCCAATTTGGAAAATCTAAAGAGTCACCTATCTTTCCAGGTAAAACAACGGGTGAAAGGGATGAAAACTGGACTTTCAAAGCGTTCTAATATCCAGAATCTCTTTCGTGTAGAGTACGGAAAGAGTGCTGAGACATGCAGAGAGGTGAAAACAATGAAGAAGCTGATGGCTCTCAGTGATTCTGTTTGTGCTGTGAGGATAAATGGGAAACCTAGCGGAAGTGGCTTTCTCCTGTTTGACAAGTTTGTCCTCACAAATGGCCACGTAATTAAAAACATTTATAATGAGAGCACAAAGCAGTTATCTGAGTCGATGACTGTCCATTTCTCTTTTGAGAGTCTGGACCAATGGGATTCAGGAGCAAAGGTGGAGGAGGTTACAGCCTGGGAGTACTATTGTGACAACTCGGGCCACATGAATGACTGGGCTTTGTTGAGGATCAGTTCTGATCAAAAACTACCGCGGTGTCTCTTAAAACACTTTGGGTTCCTCCCCAGTGGTGGAGGAATTTGCATCATTGGGCACCCCAATGATGGTGTAAAGAAGATCGACCCATGCTGGATTATTCCCACTGATAACCGCAAACAAGTTGTACAGAACCATTGCAATAGAAACCTGGATGGTGTTCTGCCAGACAGCAAGCAGTACTTTAAAGACCAGGAGTACATTAATTTTATAACTAATAATTTTTTTGAAAGTGTGTCACAATCTGTTAATGGTTTGAAACAGGTTCTCACTTACAAGTCTTGCTTTTATTTCGGCTCATCTGGCTCTCCGGTCTTTGACGAGCACTGCAATGTTGTTGCAATGCATTCAGCAGGATATGAATACAGAAACGGAAGGGGTGAAAGAAGCAGTGTCATAGAGTTTGGCTATCCTTTGTCCCTCATCCTAGAACACATCATCATCCAGATGGTGGAAAATGCAAGATTTGATGTGCTAAAGAAATACCTGGCTTGCAATTATTCACAACACCAAAACATGATGAGCAATTTGAAGAAATTGGTCGAAAGCAGAAATCTCACATCATTTCAAAAGGCATTCAACAACTTGGTTCACACAAATGAGGAACGTTTGAAGATGTTTTTTGGACTCTTACTTCAGAGAGAGGAACCTGTCCCTATGGACACACTCTGAGTACAAACTGTACACAGATAAGTGTAGTTAGCAACAGTATCCGACATGTCTTTTTTCATGGTCCAGGATACTAGTTTTATCAAACAGGGCAGGTAATGGTGGGGATATCTAAAGCTAAACTTGGTGTATTCATTGAAGCATCACTTTCAGTAAAAATGTGTTGCATTATTTTCATGATCTCTGCATTCTCCTTTTTGTTAAAGCTTTCTGTAAATGTACACTTACTTATTTATGTGCTGTTTCAAAACAAATATGACTGCATTGGTTGGAGGTCTGGCCTAATAAATGAAACAGATAACATAATTAGTTGATGTTATCATATTCATTAAATCATGTTCAGGGTTAAGCTTTCAGATTTGTCAGAAATCTTTGTGCATAAATACAAAAGATAAAACTGATTTTACTCAGGTTACAAGACTGGCTCTATATATTTTTTATGTCTATTATTCTTTGATAATAATGGATCAGAAATGTTGTTTCATTTATGTATTATTTTCAGCAGTATTCGCGGTTGTGATTATTGCTTATTTGTATGTACATTACAAAAGGATTGACTACAAATGATTTTGCCATATTCTATTAAACTGTCATTGTATTGAAATTCATAATGGAAAATGTCTCATGTAGGCCTAATAATATGACGTCTTTCGTAGCCTTCATGGATCTTGTTTGTGTTTTTAGGTAATAATCGCATAAACTATGAATGTCTCATATTTTGTTATTTCAGTTGTTTGTTTTTGCTTTATTTCCTTTGTTAACTGTTTTGCACCAAGACAAATTCTTTGTATGTGTAAATGTACTTGGTATTAAAAAATATTCTGATTCTGATGAATGAGAGGTCAAAAGAGTGTAATTGAAAATATCACCAGCATTTTCTAACACTTCTAATTTGTATTTTATACAACGTGTATACACATTTGTACACTGTTTGAAAGCCATCATTCAACACAGGTAGGAAATTACAATATAAAGATCTATCGTTTATTGTACACTGCATTTTAATGTTTGTTACATACAGAAATCATAGCTGGTAAGGTCGTGTGTTCCTACAACAAAACTGATCTTTCAACAGAGATTGGGATACCACATACTGACGTCTAGAAACATTAAATCACATTGAAATAGGTTAATCAAATAATTTCAGATCTCAGGTGATGCTTTGTGTGCATTATTAAACTGTTTTTTCGGAAGAAGGAGGAACCTTCGTTACTGCGTCTGTTTCTACCCGGCGCATTTGAAGCGGGACTGCAGCACAGTTCCTGTCGAAATGGAAGTGTAAGATCCCTTTGTTTTATTTATTTATACAAATACAGAAATTTGCGCGGGGAGTTTTTTGTCAACAGTTGTTTATTTTTAATTTTTAAATGTAGTTATAAAGGTATAACAGCTACGCTTCGTCGCAGTTATCGCTAATTTGTTTCATCAGCTGGGCAGGCTGCATGTGTGATCAGTGTTTCATTGTGAGCTACACGTTAAGGATGTGCATTGTGATTAAATGATACCAAATGTAATTTAACGTTTTCCCGTCAGTGTTAAAGAAACTGTTCATAAAATTATCTGGTTAAGTTAAATGAAGAGAATGATCCAAGACTAATTATTTAAAGCGTTTTCCTATTCAATTAAACTAAATTAAATTTATTTTGTATAGCGTCAACTCAACAAGTGTTATCTCAAGACACTTTACAAAAAGCAGGTAAAATACCTTACTTATTGCTATATTACAAAGATCCGGCCTATCCATCATGAGCACTTTAGCAAAGCAGCAAAAGTTACAGTGGTAAGAAAAAACTGCCTTATTAAAAGGCAGAAATCTTCGGCCGGCTCATGATGAAACAGCCTTCACAGGCCTAGACTGCGCCGGGCTTGGAAA